ATTTTCTGAGTAAAGACATGGTGTTATGTGTTGTTATTCTTCTAGTGTGGATAATACAGTTTTGGAGTTGGAAGTATTTTCTTCCTCCCTCTCTAAAGTCCTTTTTTATATTATGATTAAAATTATAAGTTTTATGCCTAATTAGTGTCTTAAATTACTTGGTTTTAAAATGCAAGGTAGATATTTTAATTATCTTCTTAAAAAAGATTTTGTACATGTTTTCAGTTCATGTAGCTTACAATCGTCTTGTGAAATAGTTATATGTACATACTGCTTTCTGTGGAAATTTCTAAGGGACACATGCTATTTTTGTATTTTTAAATAAACAAAGAATCTTTGATACATTTCAGTGTGGTATTTTCTGCTATATATTGTAAGGATCAGATAAAACTTATGAATGAATAATATTTTGTCTTGGTTTTTAGTATATTTTCAATTCTGAGTCTCTAAAAACTTTTTAAGAGTAATAGCATTAAATATTAAATATAAGTTGGAGTTCTTTTCATCATCTATTTTTATGTTTTAGGAAATAATTTTGTTTAATGCTACTTTAAAGTCATATGAAAACATAAATTTTGCAGTTGCTACGGTATATAAATGATAGTTCTGTTAGTTTATTCACAGGATCTGTTCTCTAACTATAATTCTTGTCCTTCTAAATGGCATTTCCTGTAAGCCTAAATTCATTAATTTTCATAGGGAGCCATCTGTGGAAATAGTCACGTTAAGGGAAGAAAAGCCTAAAAGCTATTCCCCTCCCCTTTTCAATCCAAATTTGAAAGGGTGATTTACTTCAAAGTGATTGCTTCAACTTCAAAAAACTTCCCTAAGAATGTTGTTGAGCAAGACATTGGCAATAATGGGTGCTTAACTGAATCTCCTATACATTGTAGAAAGCATTTTATTAGCCAAGGTTTTATCCATTGTCAATGGAGCCGGAGTGGGATGGAAAAGAAGTGTGGGTCTTTGAGATCAATAGTCTTTTCTTGATTTAAATCCTATACATCATTCATTTTAATAATATAATCTGCATTACACAAATCAATAACACTTCTTAGTGTGCTAGACCTTTATTAAATTGTCTTGAAATTACTTTTAACTATTATATTTATTATGGACTCAACAAAGCAAATTTATTGTGAAGCACATGCGATTTTATGAGTTTATGTGAGTTGTCTGAGCCCTATCAACTATTCAAATTGTCCATTATTAAATATAGCAAATATAACTTTTCAAATAGTCTGTTTCTTTAAGAGTTTAAATCTGATTTTATTAATTTATTTTGAAAATGAGTATATTGAACTAATTCCAAACCAAAAGGCTTGGCTTAATTTATGCTGTACATAGTTCTGATATTCCTTGCCACTTACTGTGGTGGTGTGCTTTCTTTGTCACTAGACCGATAAGCTCTGAAGCTTGTTCTAAGCAGCAAGCTTTGTTTTTATTCCTGATTGACAGGATTTTAGGTCACAGAATCCATTTATCTTTATATGTTTATGAGGAAAATGTGAAAATACTGTCTCCATTACAGTTAACAAAGAGATACCTTCTCAACTTTGGTTTGTTTGTTTGTTGAGACAAATAATGTAGGATCTTGCTATACATCTCACTATGTAGTTGAAGCTGACTTTGAGCCCACTATGTAGTCCAAGCTGTCCTTGAGCTTACAACAATCCTCCTGCCTCAGACTCCCAAAGTGCTGGAATTATAGGTGTGTGCCACCATGCCTGGCTTTTTAAAAAAATTTATGTATATATTTAAATGTTGTAAAAACTATACAGAGAAAAGTATAAATGAACTTAACTGTACCCTTAAATATGGCCCCTACTCTAGAATCCTAGAGACTATATTTGAGTTTAAATATCCCAGTTGTGTGACAAGAAATTGTACTTTTTTGTAGTTAATATATCATTAAAAATCAGGCAGTGTTCAGACTTCTCAGTTGCATATTTTTTGTAACAGTTTTTTGAATTAAGATTCAAATAATGGCTATATATTTTAGCTGATTGTGGAGGCTTTTGGGGTCTCAATCTGTTGGCTTCTCCTGCCTCCTGATGCACACTTATTGCATTTGTTAAAGAAATTGACTTATCCTACAAGATTTTCCATAATCTGCATTTTGCTTGTTGCATCTTTCGATATTGTTTTGTTGTTGTTGTTGTTGTTGTTTTACATTTGTTGGGTCATATTCAGGTTTATTAGTTAGTTAGTAACAATACATTTTAGAAAGTGTTGTATATTAAATTATGGGAATTAAAAAATGGGTTTCCACTCATGTTATTATCATTTGATAAGCATTTCTTAGATCCTTTGTTTTTTTAGGCATTGCAAATTCCTAATATTTTACCATTCTTTATTAGCTAGGATATCTACATCATTGATTTAGTTGCTCTGAGGTACAATTCTTACAGGGAAGGCAGGATAAATTTTTGATATATTTACTTTTATATAGCAGTCACTAAAACAATGAGATGGTTGCACCTTTTATAACTTCTCATCTTTTAAAAATGTAATAGTACTTACGGTAACTAGAGTTAATGGAGTGTACAGTATTTATCTGTATATTTTATTTTCTTAGCAGGATATAGATGACCTGCTTCATCACGTTTTTTACACAGCAGTTTCATTTGAAATGGTCCCTTGGTAAAAATACAAAAATTCATCTATAAAAATCATATTTTCCCTATTTAAAAGTTGAATCTCTTTTAATTCCATGTACATAAACTAGTCAGGAAATTTTTACTAAAATATAATTGGATGGAAGGAAACACAATTTTAATAACAAGAAAACTTTTTTAGGTTCTGCCGCCTGCCTTGCAAGTGCAACAACCCAAGTTCGATCCCTGGTACAAAAAAACAAAACAAAACAAAACAAAAAACAAACTTTTTTTAAAGGAGATCAGTTAGGTGTGTTTCTCATTTTGCAAGGATGCCATTTAGGACAGCATATTTTATATTGTATAAATAATTACTTAGACATATAAATAATAACTTCATAAAGTTTATTACCAGGGATTTATGAGTTTAGAGAGAACCTGTTATATAATAAATTTAGATTCTGACCATAAGTCCCATTATAATCCCTTAATAACATTCAGCAGTCTTAGATTCTTACAGTGACAGTATAGCATGAGTTGATGGTTACCACTCCTTACATTTTGTGATACTGTAAATGTTCAAAGTTATGTTTACTTTATACAGAATATAAATTTTCCCATGTGATTTTTGAATAAGAATGAATTCCCTCAGAAAAGAACTCCAAGTGTAGTATGCATGGTATTAACCTGCCTGTATTTACTCACTTTTCACAAAATAGTTTTTCTTCTCTTTGCTACTTCTCTAATACCCACATAAACATCATTTGATGTGTGTACATCTTGGTTGTCATTGTACATACAGTTTGTCTTCACCTTATACTCAAGTAAATAATTTTTTTATTAGTACATGCTCGTAGTACATAATGATTACATTTCACTCTAGAGAATATAACACATAACACATTTCAATTCTTTTTTTTTTGTTTGTTTGGTACCGGGCATTGAACTAGGGTCCTTGCGCTTGCAAGGCAGGCCTCCGAACCACTGAGCTAAATCCCGGCTTCAATTCTTTTTTTCTCCTTTGCTTCACCTCCTTTTATCTTTCCAGTATCATATTCATTTATCTTATAAGACTTCATGAAGTTAATTATCATATATACAGATTGAAAACCCGACTAATAAGCCAAAGAATGTATAAAACCTGTAGGTCTGCAAGGACCCAAATTTGATCCCCGGTACAAGAAAAGAGTTGTTCCAACTCAAGGTATGCTAATTAGCTTTTATAACTGCCAACCAGAATAGTTTTCTGCACACATAGGTTTAAGCATGTTCCTTTAGGGCTCCTCTGTCCCTGGTGGCTGTTGGGCACTTAAAACGTGTCTGGTCTGAATTGCGATTTAAATGTAAAATACAGACTGGATTTTGAAGACAGACTATGGGAAAAGATTATAGAATATCTCAAATTTTTACATTGATTACATAAAATGAAAATATTTTGAATATGTTGGGTTATATAAAGTATACTATTCAAATTAATTTCACTCTTTTTACTTTTTTCAGTGTGGTTTCTAGAAAATTTTAAATTACATTGGGTATGGCTCACATTATGTTTCTACAGGATAGTGCTGCCCTGAGACAGTGTAAAACTAATTATATAGGCAGTGAAGTCCCTATCTTTGCATAGTTCCATGGTCTGTACTATGTATAGTTACTAGTTTGCCACATGGCATGGTAGTTCACTTCTTTCTTGTACATGTAGACACAATAATGTCATTATAATGTCATGCATGCCTGGTACCTTCCAAAAAGATTACTATTAATGTGAAAGAAACTACTGCCTTTGTGATAGAATGCCATATTCAGTATCTAATTTTTTTATATTATGAGGATTTAATATTATGAGAATTACTTTATGGATCTTTAACTGTTAGCTTTGTAAATGAATGTTACATATGAAATAAATGTTAATGAGGAAAACCTGTTCACTGCAGTAAACACTAAGTTATGGTTTTACTACTTTAAGTGATAACACTAGTATATATGAATATTAGAATAAGAAACAGACTTTACTGATTCAGTTTTATTACTGTTGGAAATATAGTTAATATAATCCACATTATGTATAACATACTATACCTGTTTTCTTGAAAATTTTAAGATGTATATAAAAGATAGCAAATGCCTATTTAAATTCAGATAGATAAACAGGTTATGTTTTAATTTCATAATTTAGTATAAGTGCTATATATTGCATTTACAGTTGTTTTAATATAAAGCATTCTTTCTAAAAACTTTGTAGAGTTCTTTGAAATTCTCAAAATTGCATATTATATATTTCAAATGATGAACATTATGATTATAATTAACATCATCTGTGAATATGGTAACCAAGCAATAAAACACTTCTTTGATCATTTGAGGAAGTTTTTTTTTAAAGCACCAATATGTGTCTTCAATTTTTAGGAAACCAGAATTCGGGCAATGGAAAAAGATGCCAAGAAAGGAATCCATAATTTCTCTGTCATTAACCCTCTTGCTGGACAAGCTACAACTCATATTTTTGCAGTTGACAGTAGAGCAGATCTTCAGCAGTGGATGGAAGCTTTCTGGCAACATTTCTTTGATCTTAGTAAGTAGGTATTTGGACTTTCTAGTAGTGTATTCATATATCCTGAAAGGTTACACACATCAATTTAAATATTAAAATTGTAGCCTTAAGAGTTTGTAGTATAAATTTTTGCTGCACTTAAAAAAAAATGGCAGTATATCATCAGTGCACTAATCTCTTCTCTCCCAATCTCTTTCCAGCCCCTGTCTCTCATATGGTATGCCTTTGAATTCCTAGTATCCCTCTGGTCACTGGATAACCTGATGACATTTTCTCAAAATATTAGAATTTATCTGTTTTAGGGCAATGTGTTTGATTCAAGGGATAAGAAGAAAGTTGAGAAGCAAAAATCTTTTCCAGGACAATGATGATCCTAAAATATTGAAATGTTCAGAAGGAGCCTCCTTTTTATATAACATATTAACTCTAGATTCATTATAATATCATTTTGAATATGATCTAGAGTTTTTCCTTTTTTAATTTCACATATGGTTTCTTTATCTCAATAGTATGGTCCAATGGCATGGATTACAAAAAAATAGGGTAGTAGTAATGTATAGGGTTCTTTAATTTTCAATTTAAATAACTTTTACCAACAGGAAAATATTTAAATTTAAATATTTAATTAAAAATTTTTTTTCCTTGTTTATTAAGTATACAGTACAGTTGCATTTATCATTGGGATCTTGTACCTTAACATGACAGATTTTGGTTCTAATTTTTTCCCCATACTCCTGCCCTCCCTTAACCCACTCCCCTCTCCCCTATTTACAAAGACTTTGTTTCCAATTTTTCCTTTTCTCATCTTTTTTCTTTTACTTGCTTTCCTTTCCCCTACTCTTCCCACTTCCCCTATACCTTTAGCCCTTTTCTTCTTATTTCACATTGTTAGTTATACAATTTAGATCTTATTTACACTTTAGTTTTTCACACCAGAGAAACTATTTGGTATTTACATGTGTGTATTATTTATTTCACTTAAGAGTATGGCCTAAATATTAAATTTTTAATTTAAAGCAGTTATTTGTATTTACTGAAAGTAAATTTAACAGCATATTTATTGTGTCTATAAAATAATATTCTATAAAATTGCAAAGTAGAGCCATTTTTATATAATGAAAAGTTACTTATTTCTGTAACTCATAGATACAATTCTAAAGACAAGTTAGTGAATCTATTTTCTGGAACACTATAAAGAGTTAACACCATCAGCCTTCAGAGTAGTTTTTTAGGTTCCCTCTAATTTGTGGTTTTATCAGATATTTTAGTGAAGATTCGAAGGAGAAGAGAGAGACAGCTAAATTTATTGATTACCTCCCATGAACTTGATGCTTAATTTATTTCTCATGACATCTGCATGAGTTAGAAGTTATTTCACTGTACTCTAAAGAAAGGAAAATTGAGGCCTAAAGAGGTTTCTGGTTCATGACATTGAACTGGAGGAGGATCCCCTTGTGTAGTCTTTAATTCTTTAGCACTTGTTTTCCATCAGTACTGTCTATCCCTAGGCACTCAATAAATGTTTAAATATTTGTTTCATGTTTATCAATTTACGGTACATTCTTTATTTCAAAATTTCAGCAGATCTTAGATGGGTCACTTTAACGATAGTTTCCTTTATGGCTAAAGTTTTATTTTATTTTTTTAGTAAATGTTTGTAGTGCATAACGATTACATTCACTATGGGGGTCGGTACATGTACATAATACATCTTAATTATTTTTACTTCCCCTTCCCCTTGACACTTTCACCCTCTCTCCATCTCTAGATTCCTCTCACATTTGCAAAAGATCTATCCCCCCAATTCCTATTATTCATCCGTCCTTCGCTGTGCTCTTTAAAACATTTATACTGTACTTTGGGATTTCTCATATAAGAGAAGCCATGCTATATCTAAGTATGTATGTCTGATTCATTTCACTTAATACTATCTCTCCCCATGCATACATTTACCTACAAATGACTCAGATTATCTTTTATTGCTGAGTAGTATTTCATTGTGTAAATATACCACATTTTCTGTATCTGGTCATTCACTTTTTTTTTCAAAATAAAAACTTTTTGTTTTTCATTTTCTTCAGCTTTTGTTTTTGTACAAGAATTCATAGTTATCATATAATAACTTACAATGGGTTCAGTCTCCACTTTCCTCCTCCACCACGGTCACCATAAATTGCTTATTCAGGCCTCTTTCCCCAACACTGCATTCTGATGAACAGATCACCGCATCTGATCTAGATATATATACTCTGGGAAAAATCAGAATTTTAATATGCAAACATTTATTTATAATACAGAAATGGAAAAATCTAGAGTAGGCACACAACCTAATTATGAATTGTAGGCAATGATTTCTAGGTAGTGTCCTACTGTGAATGCATGTTTAAAATAGTCTCATAAGAAGGTTTTATTTATATGTGTACTTATGTCCATGTTATCCCAAATACTGTGCATGTGTATGGAAAATCTGAGACTTTGAAGGTACAGCCCTCAAGAAGTTGTTAAATCACTAAACATTTACAAAATTTCCAATTTTAAATTTCTTATCATATCAGTAGGAAAATACTTAAAATTTTTCTGTATATACATATGGAGAATATATATATTGAATTACATATATGTCTTATATGATCAGTATAATTCAAGTAGAAACATTTTGGTGATTTTCCCATCAAATGACCATCTTATCACAATTTTAATATTTTATTACATCGTTAAAATAATTCACTTAGCATTTCAGTAGTTTACACTGTTTAAATGCTTTCTAAATACTCTGATTTCCAGAGCCCATCTTACAAAAGTCTGTATTATTTTTTAAACAATTCTGATACTTTATACTTTCTAAATGGATAAAAACAGAAAGAGTATATGAAGATAATAATGCCAAAATATTATAGTCTGAATCAGTTAATATTGAGGATAGCCTTACTTTCTAGATTATCTTAAATAATTTATGCTAAAGTAGGGAGTTAGAAGGATAAGAATTTTAGGACATTTTTGTACTATCAGTAAGGAAGGGATGATAACTTGGTTTCAGATCTGTCTATTTCTTTGGTATTTAATACTTTTTAGGGTAGAAACTGCCATTCTGTGTAATTTTTAAAGTACAAGTTCTATTACATTTTTGAAATATGCTTCAAAGTTCATTGCATATGGAGATGAGAATGAAAGATGGAAATGGATTGGGATTTAGTTCAGTGGTTCCGCCGCTTGCCTCGCAAGCACAAGGTCCTGAGTTCGATCCCCAGTACCAAAAAAAAAAGAAAAAAAAAAAAGATGGAAGTGTTTATTCTATCCTAAATATTGACTTGTACTTTAAAATTTCTATTTTCCTAGTGACAAGTGTAGCTTATGATCTTATTTGAAGTGTGGTGTAGAGAGTAAAGTAGAGGAAGATAGCAAGAGTAAGACTAATTAAATATTTGGAGCACATTTCAACTCTTTGGGCACACTTAAGAGTGGAAAACCATGAGGGTGAGATAGAATTCATGAGGAAATGCCAATGGAAGGAAGCCTGTGTGGCCTGGAGAATAGCAAAGGGTGGAGGTTAGGAGGCAAGGGGAACATAATTGTAACTTGAAATATTTGAGAGCTAACAAATATTTAAAAGAGGAATGACACTTGCTCTGGAATGCCAGTGGGGGTGGGGATTGAAATGGGAGATCAAAGATACAGAGTTAAAGACTTGGAATAGACCTCAGGGTTTTTTTTCTTTTTTCAAATGTTTAATATAAATACTGAGCTACATTAGCAGCTTAGCAAAAGAGATCATTTTGACTGGAAACATGATAACATAAATAGTAATGTGGAAAACTTCTATATATAGATTAAGTGCACAAAACAATTCCATTTAATATTTTATAGAAGTCTCTGCTTTCTTATTAGCATACTGGCTATCATATATACTTATGCATACAAACTTACTCCCTGGCAAAAGAAATGTTTCAGTTGTAAAGTCTTGACCAGTAAACATATCACATTTGTACATCTGACATGAGTAACTTGTAGAATAATGTGATATTATGTTCCAATTTTCAATATGATTAGTATTCAGCTACTAGTTTTAATGATGAAATGATTTTACCTGTTAATATATAGGAAATACTGTACTTTATAGTAATTTGTCTAAGAATGTGACAGAAAAAATATTTACTGGGTTGAAGTGAATCATTTCCAAAGGGCTTTTTCTCCCAACCTGCCACCAAGAAGAAAAAAAAATGCCTTTTATTATATTTATCTATAAAAGGAAATGAAGAAAGAAAGAAAATGTCAAATCTTAGATCCTACTGGATTTAAATTCTGGAGAGCGACCTTTGAAGTCTTGTACTCAAGAATTTATTTTCTCTTTGTATTGCTCTGAGTTACTTTGAAACTTTTACCACATTCTGTACTTAGTATCGTAATAAAGCACACTGAAAGGTCCTTTTTCTGTTTCCTAACAACTTCAGGTAATAGACTTAAAATTTGTGTAACACTGCCATTTTTCCATGACAGTGTATTCAACTAGAAACAATAAAAATAAATAGATAATTTGATTTGACATGAAGTACCTTTACTTTTTAAGCTGTGGGAAATGACCAAGTTGAATACCAAATATGGATATTGAGGACAGAAAAAAACAGAAGAGATAGGTAGAGTATAAATCAGTATCAAAACTTTTCTACTGGTGTAACATATAAAAGTGGGAGACTTCAATAACTTTTGATTAATTTGTAGACATATAGTATCTAGCGTAGATGCCATATAACATATGGGTACAAAATAAATTTGGGAAAATTAAATTTTTTGATATCTAGTCAGGAGACATTAATCTGAAAATTTTAAGTTTAAACTAGTAAAACATAAAAACAAAACTAATGTCTGTACTTTAAATGTTTAACTTAATAACTGCAACACCTTATTCCATATATTGCTTTTATCTTATTCCATATTTGTAATGGCTTTATGTAAAGTGTTTCCTAAAATAAATTAGACTTAGAATTTTGTTGCAGGATTTTTCTTTATGGGAAAAGGTTTTAATATACCTTTGTTGTAAGCAAAAATACAATGTTTTTCTAGGGTTAGATGATTTCAGAAAGCATTCTAATCACTTTAAAGGTAGTTATTATATATTATTTCTTAAGATTTTTAAATTAAAGATAGTTTTGAGATCTACCCTTATGCTTTTTTCTACTTGTTCTGAGCAACTATATTTCAGTTGACATTTACCTTTCAACTGTATTGAACACTCACTGTTTTGATTTAATATTTAAAAGAAGAGAACCTACACAAACTTTTGCCATGAATATAAATTTTAAGGCAAATTGTTGACTGTCTAGTGAAGTAGTAGTAGCCTAGAGATCTTAATATTTGTGCATAGAACTTTATTTTTTAATAGTTATGAGCAGAATTTGATTTTAAATTATGGATACATTTTTATTTAAGCTTCCTTAAGACCATACTTTATTTACAAATTCAGTTATTTCTCAAAGCAAAAAAGTATTGGTATCTATTAGAAATGAAATATATACCGTCACATTTATATTTTAAACTAGAGTGCCTTTCTCTTTTTTAGGCCAATGGAAGCATTGTTGTGAAGAACTTATGAAAATTGAGATTATGTCACCACGGAAACCACCTTTGTTTTTGACAAAAGAGGCAACCTCAGTCTACCATGATATGAGTAAGTGGGGTTTGTCTTTTCTAAGCTTCAGGATGACAAAAACAACATTGTCCATGCTCAAGCAGCTTATTCTATTGACATTAAAATGCTAAAATTTTCATGCCACAATCAAAATGAATGAAAAAAGACTATGATTATAAGCTAAAGAATTCATGTTTAATAGATGAATTAATACAAAACTAATGAATGCACATTTTTCATAGTTTGAATGCTCAAAATCAGACAAAAATTTTTAGGTTTAAATGAATAAAGGTCACTGAAAATAAATATTAGCCGAATAGTTGATAAAATTCTGAAAACATAAATTTGCAGATTCTAAAATGTAATCATGCTTAGTACTTTTTCCTTTATTGAATTTTTCTTTTTTAAAGTTTGATAGATAAATATTAGTAAATGGAAGCTTTCATTTTTGGTCAAAAACAGTGAAGTCTAATAATTTAGAAAATTTTAAAGTTTTTAACCTATTAGTATTCCATTTTTCCATATTTTCAAAATCTGTTGTTTATCCTTGTGGGAAAGCTTTAGTGAATAGTGTTATATGTATATAAGCACAAGTCAGCAGCAGCTTCTATTCTAATTTGCTACTAATGTACCTGCACTTACATATACTTTACAATGTTAGATTAAAATTTATTTGTTTAGGTTTACGCATTTGAAAAATACCACTGCTTCATTTAATAGATATTTTTCTGTTTCCCTATTTTTTTCCAAGGAGGATTTCATCCAGGTCTCATATCACCAAAATGGTGTGAAGGGGTTGCATTCTTCCCTGGGATTTTGATTTGATGCTTTTTTCATTTCTGTTTTGTTTTTGTTTTTTCACTTTATCAGGGACTTTTCTGGTCTACAGGAAAGAATACTGATTGTGTTATAATCATCCTAGCTAGTATATCAAACTTTCCTAGAAGTCAAAATAAGGTTTCACATCCCAGAAAAGTTACCTAATACTTAACCTACAGAATTTTTAAATACTCATTTATCTTCTCTTTATTTAGGAATGTTTTTATACATGTGAGTATGTTATGTGTAGTATATATTTATACACTATGTACTTTATATACACTAGCTATTGTATGTTCAATATATAATATGTATCTGTACAATGCATGATATCTTTGGTTTTGGATTCTATTGATGAGTTATTCTTTTAGGTAAACATTTTACTGGTTACCCTACACTAATTTTTTGATAGCCATTATAAATAACTTGTTAGTTTGAAAAATAACTTATTCAATTAAAATGCAAACTCTTTTGAATTTTTCCCATCTGTTTTTCCTTAAAATTATTGCAGGCATTGATTCACCTGTGCAACTTGAAAGTTTAACTGACATAATACAAAAAAAAATTGAAGAAACAAATGGACATTTCATTACTGGTCAGGATGAAGAGGTCTCACCACCTCCTTGGGCCACAATATTTGATGGTAATCATAAAATGGATATCCAGAAAAAGGTATTGTCCCCTGCAGGTGAGCAGTTACATGATGGGAAAAGGAAAAAGAGACGAGCTCCCCTTCCTCCTGCTGATAAACCTCCATACAGCTTAAAAACACAGAGCAACAGAGATCAGTTGGTTAAGGACAACTGGGGAAATACAAGTACATCACAATCCTTGCCTTTGGATACCAAACTATCAACCCTGATGCATCACTTACAGAAACCAGTTGCTGCTCCTCGAAAACTTCTTCCTGCCAGGAAAAATAGTTTATCTGATGGTGACCACACAGACACTAAAACCAATTCTGAAACTAAGCCAGTGCCAGCTCCAAGGCAGAAATCCATCAAAGACATTTTGGATCCTAGATCATGGTTACAGGCACAAATATAGAAAACTCTTATTGTATAAAACATTGAACAGAATGTAACTGTGAGGCTTAATTGAGAGGCATTGTTAATGCAGTAATGTTATATACTTTTATAGGTAAATATGGTAGTGATTTACATAAATAATAAGCTATCAGGTATATAACATTTTTATAATGCAGAAATAGATTTTTCTTTTATTTCTGATTTTCAGAATGTAAGTAATTTTCCTCATAGAGTATAAGAGGCAGTTTCTAGACAATATCCTAATTGTTGGAAGGGTTAATTTATTCCTAAATTAGTACCAAGCAGTGAATAAGCACTAGGCAGAAGAAAGCATTAACATTTCTTTAGGGGAGAGATTGTCTAGTAATTTAAAATGTGTTAAATATGAGCCATATTCTCATTGTGAGAATTTAAATACTAATGGAATGTTTCAAAGGTTTTATTCAAACCACAAATTATAAAATCCACCCAAGAAAATTTTCTTCTTAACATTCTGGAATTCTCATGTAATGGTTCACTGCCTCTCATCTATTGTTTAACTCACTAGTTTATAGGCTTGACCTTTTAAATTCCTGGGATAAATTTTGGAATATTAAATTCTTTGTCTTTAAAGGGAATTTGTAATGTGCTATTCAAAGTCATTTCCTTGATGAGCACTGAAATCCTGTTGACATTAACTCTCATAAGTGAAGCATAACATTTATTAGTTCAGAGAAACAGTAGATAAAATGTTCTTTACATCTACTTTTTTGTGTGTGGTACTAATTTCCATTATGACTTTGGAATTTCAGGAAGTGAATAGCTGATTAACACCTTAAAATTTAATACTTATTTGCAAAACAGATGGCAGATTTAAAAAATCATAAAAGTTGGCCATGGTAATAATTTCAGAATTAATCCTTTTAAATTTTTTAATTAGTTTCCTTTTTCTAGTAAAGGTTGATGTGTGTTGATATTATTCATTAAATTCATATTCTTACAACAATAACGTTGGAATCATTTCCATAGGAGGTAAGTTCCATAGCAACTAATCATAGTGACCCAAACAGGATTATGAAATCAAGCGAGGAACAAATAACAAGAAGATGAATATTTTAAAGGAATAGAAAATTCATTTTTTATAGTAACACTTCTAATAAACAAGATGAGTATAGTTTTTAAAAATCTAATCAGAATTTCCAAATAAAAGTTTCCATAAGGTGTCAGCAGCAGCACTAAAAATATCAAATCACACTCAACACTAAATGTCATTGCAAGTAAAAATATAAAAAATTACTGTCTGTGTATAATCTCTGGAGATCTTTTTAAAGCTAGGAAGATCTCTGTTTGAATCAGAGCTGCATTATTGCAAAATAAAATGAACACTTGACCAAAAAAAGCATTAATTTAAATGAAGTCTTCGTTATTTTTAGATAGCACTGTCTTTTTTTCATTTATAGAGCATGATGTAATTGTCAGATTACTTTGAACCTGACAAAAGATCTCTTGCGACTAATGACACCAGGGCAGACACAGCATTTGGTGAGAAGAAAATGACCTAAAAAGCTGATTATTTTTTCTACTGGGAGGGTCTTGCACATTTCTGTTATGATTGCCATTTCATTAAATGGTGTATTCAAAACCTAAAGGATATTATTATTTGAATTTTTATTTTTTTAAAACTCACTGCTGTTATTGACAGCATTTACAATTTGTCGTTGCCAATAAATTTTTCAGCTAGAAGATGCTGTAGGCAAAATTGTTTCTGATACTGGCATCTAAGCATTTCTTTTTTTCCCCCCTAATTGATGCTTTCCTTTAGTACAAGCCTGTATTAAAACTTCAAATCATATTCTTGTCATTTCTCCTTATGTAAATTATACAGAAAGAATTTAAGTTGTACAGGAAAGACAGTTTATTCATAGAGAATTTATCTAGCAGTCATGTTCTCAGAAGGGAACTTTGAACTAGGTCTGAAGTCCTTCCTAGAACCATTTAGGTGAAGCCCACCTGTGCTCCCCCCCTCCCCTGCTCAACCCTACCTCCCACATTATTTTTTCTATTTCTGGGAACATATCTTCCCGTATATATGGTAGAGTCTTTAAAAATCAGCCTGTAATCTTCAACTACATCTTTTGATTATTGTTCCCATTAAATGCTTCCCGTATATATGGTAGAGTCTTTAAAAATCAGCCTGTAATCTTCAACTACATCTTTTGATTATTGTTCCCATTAAATGATACTTTACCTGCCCCCTAAAAAGAGAAGTTATAATACAAAGTTGGATTTTGTTTCTTCCTTCTCTCACTTCCTTTCCTGTCTCTCTCCCACTTCCATTTTTCTTCTTTTACAATTAAAAAAAAAAAATTAAAAATACTGAGTTGAACACTGCCAAGGTGTTCATCAGAAATATTTGTTTTCTTAATTCCTGAAACAAGTTTATGACAGAGAAATATGCCATGTAACATGAAAGGTGTCAGCTTTTTTAAGAGCTGGATTTTTACATTCCTTATCTTTTTAATTTGTCTCTGTATGTATGAAGACTATAAACTTGAAACAGTTTTCTTTCATATCTTTATATTCTATTTGGAGAGGCATAATAGGAAAAATAGGTATTTTATGATATAATTTTGATAATTTGAAGACAATATCTTAGACAATTGCATTTATATTTCAAATTCTAGAATATAAATTTCTTACAATAGCATTTAAGGTAGTGTTTTTAATTGCTACAAAATAGTTTTTTTTAACATCTTGCAAAGACAAAAAATGTTTTTCATTATAAATGCACACTTCCTAAGGTAAATATCAAGCATGACAGGTCCTGCTGAGTTTTGTTAAATTTCCTTTAACTGTCTGCATTGCCCCCTAACTTCTTTTAAATGGATATGAATGTATCTGGAAAACTAAATCCATTTATTATAAAGGCCTTATCTTTACCCTTTAGAATACTATTACATGTATTTTACCTGGTACTATTTGTTAAAAGTGGAAGCTTCCTTGATTTAGAGACAACTCATGTAAGGTAGGTTAACTAGTCAAGTGTTTCTATAGGCTTATGGGAAGCACCTCAGACACCTACTATGAAGTTAATTCAGTCCAAAATGAAATAGGGCTGTTTGGTGCAATTATGTTAAATGCTATTCAAATGTAATCATCTGTGTTACCATAAATGAGAAAAAAAAAACATATTAAAGTGAGGATGCTGTAGCAGGAACAAGAAGAAAAATGTTTTTTCTGGAAAAAAATTTCTTCCTCTGGTCAGAATTTGTCAAAACTCAGTTGTTTTTTCAAAGAGTGAATTATTGAACAGTAATTAACCTTTAATTAATGACCTTTTGTTCTAATAGTTGTCCTCATTGTTCTGTTAGTCTTAAACTATAATGTAAATAGTTAACTTTTTGTACTTGCTTTTCAAGGCATTATTCTTTTTAAATGTTTACATGTTTATATTTAACTACTTTATTATAATAACCATATGAAAACTGTCTATTCTGAATTGTGCATTTTCCTAGGTAATCCTGGGAAAGATATTACCTTTAAGTTTTTAAAAGACAGAATTTCATTTGAAAATATATTAGGGTGTTGTTTTCTGACATGCTTGAAGAATTAGCATTGTTTATAATTTTGTTAATATGAATAAAATTCCTGTATTAAAAAGTATTATATCACAGGCATATTTGTTTAAAGGTATTTGTTTACATGTATTTGGTAAGGAGACCTAAGTCATATGATAAAGACTTTTGTACATTACAGAAACTGATTCATGAGGTTATTTTCTAATTTACTCCATTAGAATCTTCTGGGCTAGACTGGTAGAAGTAGAAAGTATGATAGAATCATTTTAGGGAAAGACTTATGTGGTAGCTGGCTACTTCTGAGAAGACTAATGCCCTAAACACCTGGGTATACTTAACACTTATTTAATTATTTGCATATTGTCCCTCAGAAAGTGTGCACATTCTTAAAAATCCTTTGATGTAGACTTATTTTGAGGTCAGTGATGCAAAATTTCTACAGTTTAAGTCACCGTGAAAAGCAATTTGTGTACGTAGTATATTCAGTCACTGTTAGCCACAAGGAGGCTTATTTTCATTCACCTCAATCAGCTCTGAATTTTTTTCTCATGGAACACTTAGGAAAGGGAGTTGGAGGTTGGCACAGGAGTGACCAGCCCTACCTCAGTTATATTCAGCATTTACTTATAAGTCTGTAGTATGATTAGAAATATTTGACATTTCTTTTTAGAAAAACATCTTTCCTTTCTCTAAAGAGAGGAGCCTACTAATCAGTACACTTAGATAAACAAAATATCTTAAAGTTCAGTTAAAAAAAAACTTCCATGGACTGGGGATTTAGCTCTGGTTCTGCTGCCTGCCTTGCAAGCACAAGGTCCTGAGTTTGATCCCTGAATTTAAAAAAAAAAAAAAATCTTTCATAAATGTTTGAAACATTTTTCTTTTTCTGAGTGTAGGAAGAAATACCAATCCTGACATATTTAATAATTGAGTAAGATTATGCCAAATTATACTGAAAGTTGTTTTTCAGTTTCAGCAGTTTGCTTTTAAGAGATAAAGAATCTGTTAAATGAGAAGTGGGTTGGGAAGATCATATATATTCATAATTATGCTGTATCACAAGCATTTTTCAAGATATCAAAATAAATTTTGTTGAAAATGGATATTTTCTGTGTTACTTCAAAATATTTGTTTTTCGTCTGTTTTAAAGGAAGCAAATTTTCTTTTGTGAATAGATACAAATTTTCTTTTGTGAATTTGCTATCTTAAATATTTAATATAATTCATTATAGGAAGTTTATAATTTGCTTTTAGAGGAAGAAAAGGCATAAGTGATTATTCATTTAACCTCAAATACTAAAACATGTTAAATATATACAAAATAGAAAACTAGATAATGTATACATATTCATACAAATACTGTTTGATTCTTCAGGTATTTTCATTTTGTTTTAAAAGATTCTTTTAAAATATGCTACTAATGGTAATGGAGCGAAGGTCCAGCCACTTCCCACAGTTTACAGGACCCACTGCAGACCAGCTCCTACTTACTACACTATCAGCCACATCACACACTCACTGCTCTCCTCTCACAGGTGT